GATTTTTCTTCTTATAGTAGGACTGTATTGCTATAACTTCCTTCTTAAGAACTGCTTTTGCTACATCCCAAAGATTTTGGTCCATTGTGTTCTCATTTTCATTTGTCTCCATGTATTTTTGGATTTCCTCTTTGATTTCTTGGTTGACCTGTTGGTTGTTTAATATGTTGTTTAGCCTCCATGTGTTTGTGTTCTCTTTGGATATTTTATTGTAATTGATTTCTAGTTTCATACTGTTGTGGTTGGAGAAGATGCAGGATATGATTTCAGTCTTCTTAAATTTATTGAGGCTTGTTTTGTGGCCTAACATGTGATATGTCCTGGAGAATGAATTGAAAAGACTGTATCCTGCTGTTTTTGAATGGAATGTTCTGTATATATCTCTTAGTTCCATCTGGCCTAGTATGTTGTTCAAAGCCAGTTTCTTTGTTGATTTTCTTTCTGGATGATCTATCCATCGATGTAAATAGAGTGTTAAAGTCCCCTATTATTGTGGTATGACTGTCAGTTTCTTCCTTCATATCTGTTAATATTTGCTTTATGTATTTAGGTGCTCCTATGTTGGGTGCATAAATATTTACAGTTGTTACATCCTCTTATTGTATTGGTCCCTTTATCATTATATAGTGCCCTTCTTTGTCTCTTGTTACAGTCTTTGTTTTAAAGTCTGTTGTCCGATATAATTACTGCTACCCTGTTTTTTTTTTTTTTTTTTTTTAAGATTTTATTTATTTGAGAGAGAGCGAGAGAGCACGATCAGGAGGGGCAGAGGGAGAGGGAGAAGCTTAACCGACTGAGCCACCCAGGCGCCCTAACCTGGCTTTTTTTTTCTTTAGTTCTATTTGCATGGTATATGTTCTTTCATCCCTTCACTTTCAGTCTATATGTGTCTTTAGGTCTGAAGTGAATCTCTTACAGGCAACATATAGATGAGCCTTTTTTTTTATTCATTCAGTTCCCCTATGTCTTTTGATTGGAGCGTTTAGACCATTTAGAGGAATTGTTGATAGTTAATGTATTTGTTGCTATTTTGTTAATTGTTTTTTTGTCATTTTGTAGTTCTCCTCTGTTCCTGTCTTCTCTTGCTCTCTTCCCTTGTGGTTTGATAGCTTTCTTTAGTGTTATGCTTGGATTCCTGTCTCTTTTTTTGTGTGTGTAACTTTTACAGGTTTTTGATTTATGGTAACTACTAGTTTCATATATAATGTGTATAGCAGTCTCTATTTAGTTGATGGCTGCTTCAGTTCGAACACTTTTTTTTTTTTTTTTAAAGATTTTATTTATTTGACAGAGACATAACGAGAGAGGGAACACAAGCAGGGGGAGTGGGAGAGGGAGAAGCAGGCTTCTCGCTGAGCAGGGAGCCCGATGCGGGGCTCCATCCCAGGACCCTGGGATCATGACCTGAGCGGAAGGCAGACGCTTAACGACTGAGCCACCCAGGCGCGCCCCCCTTTTTTAAAGTAGACTCCGCACCCAGTGTGGAACCCAGCACAGGTCTTGAGCTCACGACCCTGAGATCAAGGCCTGACCTGAGATCAAGAGTCTGATGCTTAACTGACTGAGCCACCCAGGTGCCTCAATTTTGAACACATTCTAAAAGCAGATGTCTTTATTTTAATTCTGATTTTTGAAAGATGTTTTTACTGGATGTGGAAATCCGGGTTGAAGGTTCTTTTTCTAGAATTTGCATTTGGTTCTTTTTATAATTTCTGTTTCTCTGTAGAAAGTCCCTATCTCTTCTCTCATTATGACTATATTTTTCTTGCAGTCCTTGGACCATCTTTGGGTTGGTTTCTCTTTAATGTTTTTTCCATGACTTTAAGTCATATTTTCATGTTTTTAAATTAAATAATTTGGGTTTACATCTCAGATATTGTGGATGGCACATTGTAGATGCTAAGGATTCTGTTATCTTCCTCTGAAGAGTATTGAGTTTTGTTCTAGCAGGCAGTTGAGTTACTCACTGATCACCTTTGACTTGAATTAGCTTTATTTTTTTTGTTTTTTAAAGATTTTATTTATTTATTTGACAGAGAGAGACACAGCGAGAGAGGGAACACAAGCAGGGGGAGTGGGAGAGGGAGAAGCAGGCTTCCTGCCAAGCGGGAAGCCCAATGCGGGGCTCGATCCCAGGACCCTGGGATCATTACCTGAGCCAAAGGCAGATGCTTAACGACTGAGCCACCCAGGCGTCCAGCTTTTTTTTTTTTTTTTTAAAGATTTTATTTATTTAACAGAGAGCAAGAGTGCGCAAGCAGGGGGAGCAGCAGGGGGAGAGGGAGAAGCAGGCTCCCCACTGAGCAAGGAGCCGGATGTGGGCCCTGATCCCAAGACCCCAGGATCATGAGCTGAAGGCAGATGCCCAACTGACTGAGCCGCCCAGGCGCCCCGAATTAGCTTGGTTTTATACCTTGTTAGGACAGATCTCTGGAAAGCCCACAGTGGATCCTGAAGCCTTCTAACTTGATCAGACTAGACTAGTAGACTGGGTTTCCTCTGCGGATCTCGTTGAGGCTTGTCTTTGGGCTCTTTTAGGGCAGGTTTAGAGTACGTCTTATTCTAGGATATGGTCTTTACTCCCAACATGCGGCCTTTCTGGTATCTCAAGATGCTTTGGGTATTAGTGAGGTCTTTCCATTGTCAGTGGTCAAAAACTCTGATATCTCTCATCACTGACTGGCATTTGTATTTCTTTTGCTCCTAACCCGGTTGCAACTGCTCTCTGTTAAACCTTGCATAGTTTCACCCTGCTCATATGCAGTCCAACCCTTGGCTCACAGGGAAACCCCACATAGAGTTCTGCCTGACCAAACCCGCCCCCCCCCGCCCCAGTCACAGCTCCATTCTCTCCACTACGCTGTTCTTGAGAATCCAGATACAAAAGCAGCTCCAAGGTCTGATCTCTACCTCCTCAGTTTGGTGAGACCACTGAACTCTGTGTGAGCTGCAGCTTCCTGCACTGTTGTTGGGGAAATTTTCCCCATGCAGAAAGCCAGGATGATCATGGGTCTCACCTCATGAGTTTTTCTTCCCTTGGGATTTCATTCTTGTCTGCCTGTTGTCTAGTGCTTGAAAACAGTTGTCTTATAAGTTTTCTCCAGTTCTGTAGTTGTTTACAGTGGGTGGGCCTGTGTGTACTGCCAGTTACTCTGCCATGGCCAAAAACCGAACTCCCCAAACACGTATTTACTGAGCACATAATATTGTAACACCCTGGTTTCTTATGAATATATGAATGAAACACATGGGTTTCTTTATGAAGAAAAAGTACATGCATCGAGGTCTGCATGAGAAACATGTAACATTGGGGCACCTGGGTGGCTCAGTTGGTTAAGCGACTGCCTTCGGCTCAGGTCATGATCCTGGAGTCCTGGGATCGAGTCCTGCATCGGGCTCCCTGCTCAGCAGGGAGTCTGCTTCTCCCTCTGACCCTCTTCCCTCTCGTGCTATCTCTCATTCTCTCTCTCTCAAATAAATAAATAAAATCTTTAAAAAAAAAAGAGAAACATGTAACATTGGCTTAATCCCTCTTACCTCACTCTTTCTTTTTTTGCTTGAAACATTTTCTTTTCTTTTTAGTTTTTAAGTGATCTTCTGATATGGGATACATTGTTTGAAGTGCTAGGGATGAAGACATTCCTTATTATACCTCAAGGAAAAAGCAGCTTTTATTTATTTATTTATTTATTTATTTACTTACTTACTTACTTACCATGTATTTATTGTAGAGAGAGAGTATGGGAGCCACTGGGTTGGGGAGGGGCAGAGGGAGAGAGAATCCCAAACAGATTCCATACTGAGCACAGAGCCTGACGTGGGGCTTGATCTTATGACCCTGAGATCATGACCTCAGCTGAAACCAAGAGTTGGATGGTTAACCAGTGAGCCACCAAGGTACCCTGGAAAAAGCAGTTTTTATTTTTTCTTTGTATTTTTTTTAATTTAAATTCAATTAATTAACATATAGTGTATTATTAGTTTCACAGGTAGAGTTCAGTGATTGATCAGGTGTATGTGACTCCCAGTGCTCATTACATCACGTGCTCTCCTTAATACTTGTCACCCAGTTACCCCATCTCCCCACCAACCCCCCCCCAAAAGCAACTTTTAAAAGCTGGAGTGTTATACTGATCTCTGATTAAGCCAGACAGATTTAGTGATTAGGTGTGTTTGTTTGTTTGTTTTGTTTTTATTGTCGCAGTTAGTGTTACGGGGAAATGATGACCTGTAGCTCTTTAATAACATTCAAGGATTGACCTAATGATCCAATATTAGGATCTTATGCAAGAACGTTAACTCGAAATAGTACATGATTCTTTAAACATTTCTAAATACTAACTTTGTCATTTAATATTTCTCTTTTCACTGTCTTAGTTACTGTCTTCTAAATTTTTATACCAGTTGGCATAAAATAATGCTCACTTAGTTCAAGGCCATAGGAATGTTTTTGAGGTAGTTGTTGTTTGTTCTAAGTCTTCTTTAAGCCCGGGGTTGAAAATTTCGGTTCCGACAGGTTTTCCTAAGTTCCCAAATAGTCCAGTTTTCCATGTGGCACTCAAAAGAGATCACCTAGAAATTTCATTGCATCTTTTGGGGAAAAATCAATTTGTTCTCTTCAACCTCCTATTTATTACAGAAGCATCAGATTATTTCAACATTAGCCTTTATTTCTAGGGCACTGATGTCTTCATTCAGCTTTACTTTTTGGTCTGCAGACGTACAGGTGCAGATAAGAAGTGTCCAGAAGAGCCGTTTGCTAGGAAACCAGTAGTGAAAACGCTTCACATGGTGCATTTCATTTTTCTACTTGGCTTGCACATTTGGAGACTGAGAGGGAATGTTGTAAAAAGCTCAGGGTGATGATGCCAGTTTAGATACAATATTAGCGATTTGCTTGGTCAAGGTTATAATCTTTCTCATGTGGAGGGTGTGCATTCGTTCTCACCGATCACGTGTCCCTCTCCTCTGCACAGCCCTGGCTCTCGTTCCCTCTCTAGGGCCCCTGTGAGAGCCTCCGTGAAGCCTTGGTCTTCCCCAGCGACAGCTCCGCCCCAGAAACACTTCACCTAAAAAAGGATTTGCCAAGCCAGAGGATGCCTGTCGAGCTGGGGCAGGCCCTTGTCCTGCCACCACGGCTGGCGAAGGCCGAGGATGCCCCATTCTCCGGACCAGATGCTGCCCCTCGAGGGGAGCTCTCTAACCCCGAGGCCGCACGCCAGCTTTTCAGGCAGTTTCGTTACCAGGTGATGTCTGGGCCCCACGAGACGCTGAGACAACTGCGGAAGCTCTGTTTCCAGTGGCTGCGGCCAGAGGTTCACACGAAGGAGCAGATCCTAGAGATCCTCATGTTGGAGCAGTTCCTGACCATCCTGCCTGGGGAGATCCAGATGTGGGTGCGGAAACAGTGCCCTGGCAGCGGGGAGGAGGCCGTGACCCTTGTGGAGAGCTTGAAGGGAGACCCCCAGAGACTGTGGCAGTGGGTAAGCAGAGGGTCGAAGCTGCCAGTGATGCACAGGGCTCCTCTGGGGCCTTTACCGGGTGTGTTTGTCTTTTTCCTGACCCTCAGTGTGTGTGGTTTTCCATACTAACAACCAGTTCTCCAATTTGCTGATACCAGCGAGGTGTCTTAGAGTTCAGTTCAAATCTGACACTAATATTCTCGGGTTGGCAGACCCGGTGGGATAAGGGTCAGTCTCATCAGGCTGCTCCCATTTCAGACACCAAGCACAAGTCACCTGTGTACATTTGGAGGTTCCCACAACCCCCTCCTCGGGTTAGTTAATTTACTAGAATGACTCCTAGGAGGAGACTTCCGTGGCGTCTCTGGGCATGCCATCCTCCCAGCACTTCTGTGTGGCCACCAGCTCAGGAGCTCCCTGAGCCCCATTGTTTAGTGGATTTTAGGGAGGTTTCGTTACTTAGGCACGATAATCATTGGCCATTGGTGACTGAACATCTCCAGCCCATCTCCCTTCCTCAGGGGTTGAGGGTTGGGGCTGCGAGTTCAGTCCTCTGGTCACCTGGTTGGTTCCTGTGGTGACCAGCCTCCATCCTGAAGCTACCTGGGGGCCCACCGAGTGTCACTTTCTTAGCATAAACTCAGATATGGTTGAAAGGAGCTCATCATGATGGCATATGCTCCTCACTCCTGTCATTTAGGCAGTTCCAAGGGTTTTAGGGACTCTGCCAGGAACCTGGGACAAAGACAAATACATATTTCTTACTATACTACATCAGTATATCCCCATATCTCCCTTAATTCTAAGGCTCTCTGACTCAACACTTTCTCGTCATTACAAATAGAAGATAAAGTCTCTTGTCCCATTCCATCTTTCTACTAAAGTCTTGGAGAAGTTATTCCAAAGATACCTGAGTTTTAATTGGTGGAGACTGTCCAGTAGAAACACATTATTATTATTTTTTTTTTTATAATTTTTTTATTGTTATGTTAACCACCATACATTACATCATTAGTTTTTGATGCAGTGTTCCATGATTCATTGTTTGTGCATAACACCCAGTGCTCCACGCAGAATGTGCCCTCTTCAATACCCATCACTAGGCTAACCCATCCCCCCACCCCCCTCCCCTCTAGAACCCTCAGTTTGTTTGTCCATCGTCTCTAATTGTTCGTCTCCCCCTCCGACTTACTCCCCTTCATTCTTCCCCTCCTGCTATCTTCTTCTTCTTCTTTTTTTTCTTAACATATATTGCATTATTTGTTTCAGAAGTACAGATCCGTGATTCATCAGTCTTGTACAATTCACAGTGCTCACCATAGCACATACCCTCCCCGATGTCTATCACCCAGCCACCCAATCCCTCCCACCCCCCACCACTCCAGCAACCCTCAGTTTGTTTCCTGAGATTAAGAATTCCTCATATCAGTGAGGTCATATGATACATGTCTTTCTCTGACTGACTTATTTCACTCAGCATAACACCCTCCACTTCCATCCACGTCGTTGCAAATGGCAAGATCTCATTCCTTTTGATGGCTGCATAATATTCCATTGTGTATATATACCACATCTTCTTTATCCATTCATCTGTCGATGGACATCTTGGCTCTTTCCACTAGAAACACATTATTAATGGCATGTTCAGGGTCTCCCAGGCCCGATTCAGGCCTCAGCTTTTGGTCCCTCTCAGGATGTTTTCCTCACAGGTTCCTGCTGGTCTAGATAGAGAAGCTGGTTTTCCCTACTCCATGTCCCTAAGGACTGACTTATTATCTGTTACAGAGTGTTACCTTTGTTTCTTTCAGAACCCCTCAGTCTGGATCTTTCGGTAATTAGTAATATGTGGTCTCTAGATCAGCATCCAGGTTCTAGGACAGGAAATCTTGTCAGAGAAGATGGAATCTGCAAGTTGCCATGTGGGGGAAGTAGAACGCCATATTGAAGTGGGGCCTCAGGAGCTGGGACTTCAGGACTCACCCTGCAGGCCGCTGGAGCCTCCGAGCCATCCAGTGAAAGAGGAGTCTGACATGGAGCAAGAATTAGGTGAGGGGCAGTTACTTGTGGTGTGTGGTGCTTTCTTGGGGAGTTTTGGGGATTGTGGTTAGAAGGCCTCAGAGTGAGTTGAAAATGATATGCTGCTCAGGTGAGGGTATCTCCAGAAAGTTTGGAAACAGAGTAGACCTACTGAATCCCTCTGATGTGGAGATTCAGTCTGTGAATCTCCTTTATCACTGGGCCAGACCATTTGAATGTTGGTTCTGAGGAAGGGGGAAGGAAGGAGGGGGAAAATACGGGGGAGGCTGTTTGGAAGGTTGTGGGGAGTTGGGAGTTTGTTAGGGAGGTAAACACGAGTCTTGACATCATGGACAGTGGGACAGGCATCGGTTCTCATTTGGGACAGTTTTCATCCGTACCGTCCGGGGAGTGGTTTGTGACGACATCTAGAGTCTTCAGACTTTCTGTTCCTCCCTTCAGTGATGGCTGCTACCCCGCCTCCTGGCCCACCAGAGGAAAGGCTCATCAGAGACCAGGACTTCGGAGCCTCCTTTTTCCAAGCAGCACCTCTGGTGAGCTGGCTTCCCTGCCTCTCTCACCCCAGAGCCGGGCTCGAGGGTGTCAGCTGGCAGTCAGGAGGATGGAAAGGGGGCGCGTTCTCAGAAGCGGAGCAGAGAGGACCGCCTAGCAAGGCCAACAAGAACAGTACACGTGGAATGAAACCTGAGTCTCAGCATTTCCCTCGAGGCCGAATGTTTAGTGAATAATGGAATCTGGGTCCTGGAAGAAGTGGCCCTCTTGTCTCTCCCTTTCCTGTTCCTTGGGCTATGCTGAGAAAAGGCTCTGTTTCATTTCCTGGTCTAGGCCTCGCCCGATAGGAGTCAGTCTGAGTTTTGAATGCTTCTCTCTAATGTGGGTCAGGTGGCCTCGCCAACTTTACAGAGGCATAACTGACAAACAGCGAACTGACCATATTTCGAGTGTACAGTTTGGTAAGTTTTTGATACATACACACATGTGTGAAACCATGACCACAATCAGGATGATAAACATATTGTTACGCCCAAAGGTTCCCTTTTGCCCTTTTGTGACCCCTCCCTCCTGCCCCTGTGCTCCCCCGATCCTGAGATCGCGAGGCCCCACTGAGCTGCCTTCTGTCACCGTACATTAGTTTGCGTTTTCTAGAATTGCGTATAAAATGGAGTCCTGCCATCTGTACTCTTCCCCTTGTTTTTCTGCATGTAATATAGTTTTCTTGCTTCTTTGACTATTTTCTCGGTGGTTTTTAACCGTTGGACTATGATGGACCTGGGAGTCATTTTCTTCGTGTTTTTGTGCTTGGGATTCTTTGGGATTCTTGGATCTGTGGGTTTATAGTTTCCCACAAATTCGGAAGAATTTTGGCCAGTATTTCTTCAACTGTTTTCTATCTCCCTTCTTTCTCCGCTTCTTTGCAGACTTTGAGAATAACACCCCCATGGGCTGTATATGATGATAACGTGCAGACATATGTTAGATCTCTTGAGGTTGTCCCAGAGATTATTGATGCTCTCTCTCTTTTTTTTAAAAAAAATCTGTTTCATTTTGGATGGTTTCTGTTTGTGTGTCTTCAGGTTCACTGATCTTCTCTTCCACAGAGTCTAATCCACGTTTAATCCCACCCAGTATAGTTTTCATCTCTAGAAATTTGAACTGGGGCTTCGTTATATTTTTCATGTCTACACTTAACATATTGGGTCTTTCCTACACTTTCTTGAACGTACAGGATGTGGCCATACCATCTGTGTTAATGTCCTTGTCTACTAATCTATCACCTCTGTCATTTCTGAGTCAGTTTGGATGGATCGATCTCATTTCGAGGTGTTTTCCTGCTACTTTGTGTGCCCAGCAACGTTTGATTGGATGTTGTGAATTTTACCTCAGTGTTGGGTGCTGGGTATTTTGACATTCCTCTAAATGTTCTTGAGCTTTGCTCTGGCATGTGGTTGAGCTACTTGGACGTAGTTTGTGTTATGGCACCAGAGAAGTCTTTAGTCTGGGCTCGCTTTTCCCACTACTGAGGCACTACCCTTCCGTGTATTCCACCTGATGCTGCCTGATGTACAAGTATTCTACTCTGGCTGGTGGAAAATAACTATTTCCAACACCATGTCAGCTCTGTTTCCTCCGCTTCTTTTGGGGGATCTCTCCCAGACTTGGGGGGGGACCCTGTACGTCTCTGGAGCTCTCTCTCTGTTCGCCTCCCTACTCTGGTCTTCTGCCCTGCTAACTATAACTGCCTTCACCCCAAACTCTGAGCTCTTTTCTGCCCACACCTGGGGTGCTCTCTCCCTGGCCAGTGCAGGGCTCACCTAATTTGTTTCCTCACTTTCAGGGATCGCTGCTCTGCTCTGCCTAGCAGGTGATGTCTGCGAACCATTGTGTCATATATTTTGTTCTCTTTTTCACTTGTTTCAGGTGGGAAGGTAAATCTGGTCTGTTACTCCATCTTGGCTGTGAACAAGTTTGGGAACAGGTTAATTTTGAATACGTAGTTAAATTAACAACTCAGAAAAGTTGCGCTTGGCTAAAAATAGTTTTTCTGGAACCTGTACGCCTTGATCAAAGCATTGTTTCAGACCTTTGGGGAACCCTTCTTGGGACTTGCCTCCCGAGGTACTTGGAGTGAAGGTCAAGGTAGGGAAGCCAGTAGGTGGTGCTTGGTGGGATGCTTATGCCAGGTATGAGCCTCAGCTTCCCAGGCTCAGAGACGGAGAAACCAGAATGCCTCTGTAGTAAGGAAAAGTATCCGTATGAAAGGTCTATACAATTTCTGAACATATTTTAACCAATAGAATTAAGCACTAACTATACATAACATAACAACATTAACCATGACTTGTTTTGGATAGCTCCATACAGACTAAAAATGTTCAGCATCACTGTGTGTGTGTGTGTGTATTTCCTTATACTGAGCAGGCAACTGATTAATAGCCACTCAGTCCAAACAAAAGTCACTCTTATCCAATCCCAGTATCCCTGCTCCAAACCCTAACAAAAGCTATCTGCATCAGAAGGACCTTAATATTTAATGGATGCTTTGTGAAGTGAAGGAGATATTTAAAAAGATGTAATCACTCCCTCTGATCTCTTTTATAGGTTAGGAGCTTCGTGAATAATGCCAGAATAATGAAGTAGCATCCCTATACAGTGGTCCTTCACTGTTAGGAACTGTGACTGAGCTAGAGCCTCACGTAGATAGACTTGGGGATGCGTTTACTCACATTCCTGTTTTCAGCCTTCAGGAAAGGAACAGGGTGCGGAGAACTCTGCAAGTCAGTTGTGCAGGGTCTCATGGACCCACAAGGTGGTGCTGTCTCCATAGAAAATCAAGATTACTTTTTTGTCAGAGTCTGTAGTTCTGTCCTTCTGGAATAGGAATTGAGATTTTTTTCTCCTCTTATAAAAATGAGGAAAAGGCAAGATGGGTGCAGTTGTGTCTTGCCTGTCGAGTGAGGACTTTATTCACACATCCCTCGCTTCTTGGCAGTTCCCTGAGTGAGTGTGTGGCTTCATGTGGAGGTATGCTATTTAGAGCCCTCCTGAAGCGTCTTTTCTGAGTTTTGAATGAGCTGATTATGGACCTTGGTGATTTTGGTGGCCGCACTCTCTGTTGACTTGTACTGTCTTTCGGAGCTCCCATTCCAGTGCCCATGGAACCGGCCGTGTGTCCAGCAGGCCAGGCAGCCGAGCAGCCATTCCTGTGCTCGACATGCCCATTACTCTCTCTGGGACTGCTGAAGCAAGGGTCTATGTCTTCTGATTGAAAAGACTGAGGGGTCCCGTATTCAGCAAACTGGTTATTTGCTCAAACTGGTTATTTTTAGGAGGTTGTTAAGGTAGCTTCACTCACAGATTAACAAAATAAGCTCATAACTCTGAATTCCTTTAACAATCAAAAATTCTAAATTAAAATTCAAATTAAAAATGTGGTTATAGAGATGCCTGGGTGGCTCTGTCGGTTAAGCATCTGCCTTTGGCTCGGGTCATGATCTCGGGGTCCTCGGATCGAGTCCCATGTCGGGCTCCTTGCTGAGTGTGGAGCCTGCATCTCCCTCTGCCTGCCGCTCCCCCTGCTTGTGCTCTCTCTCTCTCTGACAAGTAAATAAATAAAAATCTTTAAAAAATGTGGTTATAGTTAATACTTAAATATGGTAAAATATATTTAAGTCACTTTTCGCTTTTTTTTAAAGATTTTATTTATTTTACAGTGGGGGAGCTAGAGCCTGAGCAGGGGGAGGAGCAGAAAGGGAAAGACTCTCAAGCAGAGCCCCACACGGGGCCGATCTGGGACCCTGAGATCATGACCTGAGCCAAAATCAAGTGTCGGACACTTAACTGACTGAGTCACCCAGACACCCCCACTTTTCACATTTTATCCTAAAAAAAAATCTAGACCGTCTTCTGCTTTTTAAAATTTTTGCTTAGTATCTGCTCATTGCAGACTTTTGGTGTCTTCATTCTTTTTCAGGTCTTCCACTTCCCTTTGGTGTGCTGTGGGGCACACTTGATTTAGGACCGAGAATGCCTTCCCTGGGTGTACCTGTGTTGTAGGATGATCTCGTTTTCTTATTCGTCCTCCTTAGTTTTGCTCCCCGTAGCTAGCTATTCATGATAATAATGGATGGCTTTCGGCTTTGAGGTTCTGGAAAGTGTACAGAATGCCTTAATTCTCTCTGCAAACCCTTGGTGGGGAGTCTGGGAGGCCAAGTATCCCGTAGACCACTTGTAAGATAATAACAGTAATAAATGTATCCCTTCCTGAGGAGTTATTTGCCGAGGGCTTTATTTCTGCTGGACAGCATATATCGAGTGCCTGCTCTGTCCTGCGCATCGTTGTGGGGACTGAGAAAGTACAGTGGAGAGTCCTTTTCTCATGTAGCTCACATGCTAGTAGGGGCAGCTCTTAGAGACTTGTGCGTATGCGTGTGTGTGTGTGTGTGTACACACGTACATACACGTAAATAGTTGATAAACTGATGAATGCTACGAATGAAGACTACAACATGCTGTGAAAACAAGTGACACATTATTTGTTAGCTTTTGAGTTTCGTACTCTAATCAAGTGAGGACGGAGACTCACAGGTTATGTAACTTAAGATCACACAGGTAGCAGTGGCAGATCTGGGACTCGAAACTTGTGTGTCGGACTCCAAGGGCTGTGATATTTATGAGTCGCGCCGTTGTACAGACTGAGTCTCTAACAGTCAGCTTCTTGGTGGGAAGATTGGAATTTGAATTCACAGGAGACTCCAGTTAGATAGCATTCCCAGTTTTGAGTCTCTAGTCTCCAGTTTCCTAGGAAAAGAAGGGCTTGTTTTGGGGGATAATTGAGGCGCACCTGGCTCCAGAGAATCCATCGATTTTCCACTAAGTGGGAGGAAAACTGGTCTAATGTTAGACCTTAAACTCAGAACTGTTGGGGGGTTTCCAGGTGTGCACGGAAGCAGCCTCTGTCTCTGCTCTGAATCCACCGATCTGTGTCAGGGAGACAACGCAGTTGACTTCCTCTTGGGCTCTTGCCACCTTTTTGCTGATTTGTGCTTGCATTTCCAACACCTTCCCTTTTAATTTCTTTTCCCTCTTGAATTTCCAGATTTTAATGAAATATTGGGACTATCAGGCTCCTACTGTTCAAAGATCTCTATTATAAGCACTGAGTTAAAAAAAGAAAAACAGTAAAGGAGTGTAGAAAAGGCCTCTGCCTTCTCTCTGTGTCCTTCACTCTTAAATATGTGCAGCTGGAAAAAAAAAAAATCCAGAACTTTAAAACCTGAATGTTTTCTAACCAGGGCAGGAGATAGTGAAGTGGAGACTGTGGTTTTCCCCTTTGGCCTCTTCCGGTGAGCCACCTCTTGTGATTCCTTAGATCTTTGGATGGCCAGGCCGCTAGGGCATGTTCCTGTTTTCCTCTAGGTGGGGAAGGCTGGTTCACAGACCCGCAGTGGTGTCATGGCATTGTGTGTTTTCCAGGAGGAGTGGAGGCACCTGGATTCCACTCAGAAGGAGCAGTACTGGGATCTCATGCTGGAGACCTATGGGAAAATGGTCTCAGGAGGTGAGGGCGTGCGCTAGTCTGAAGGGAGGAGGCGTTAAACATTTCCCGTGTCCTGTTAGAGACAGCTGCTCCACATGACGTCCCCTGGGTCCGGGAGAGCATGAGGGGCACGGCTGGGGACTGGGGATAGCATTTTAGTGAGAGCTTCCTTGTACTGGAAGGATTCCGTGTGCCCGGAACTGTCATGGCTGCATTCCATGTAGTCGCTCCCTAAATCTATGAGATAGGTGAGGGTCTTCCCGTGTTGGAGATGACCAAGGTGAGTGTCAGATCCAGCCATGTGCTCACTGTTACGTAGGTCGTAAGTGCTGAGTTAGGATAGAACTCACTGTGGCTGACTGAGTCCACGCTCCGTGTCACTAAACCACAGTGTCCCAACCAGCCACTGGTGGGGCCCAGTCATGAGCTTTGCACCTGCCAGGTGGTATGGAAGCTCCCTTCTGGTCACCTGTCCAGACTTTTCTTTTTTGTGACCTTCACCATGTATCTTAGTCATCTTGTGAGTTACCGCGGTCTTGGAAGCTCCCAATAGCCTAAGATAAGTTGCCTTTTTTTTTTTTTGTTAAAGATTTTATTTATTTATTTGAGACGGGGAGAGAGAGAACGCACGAGCAAGGGGAGAAGCAGACTCCCCGTTGAGCAGGGACCCCCATGCGGGGCTGGATCCCAGAACCCCGAGATCATGACCTGAGCTGAAGCAGACACTTAACTGACTGAGCCGCCCAGGCAGCCCAGATCCTTCATATTTCCCTTTTACAGTCAGATTGTACCTTTGAAGGACACAGCTTGGTCCCCAGTTCTCCCCATTCATCTAGGCTTCCTGTTATCTCTCTGCGTGCCAGGTATTTCCAGTTCCAAGTCTGATCTGACTAATTCAACAGAATATGGGGAAGAGCTGGTGGGACTGCACCTTCCTGTCGGCGAGAAGATCCCAAGACCCACCTGCATAGGTGAGTGATCGTTCATCGGGCCTGAGCCATTTCTGACCTCCTGTCATTAAATTGGAAGTGGTGGGGGAGGTACTAGGACCTGATGTCTATGACCTTGTCTATAACGGGCCATGATCTGGTCAGTCCAGTGGCAGTGCTGACCTTGGGTCTCCCCATCTCTGGTACGGGGCTGTCAATACACATATATGTCATCAAGGAATAGAGACCACACATTGGACCTGCTGCCTTCAGTCTTGTCTGCCATGACAGCTTGTTTTCTCAGAGAGAGTTAAGATTAGGACAGATGGATACCAATACAGATATGAGTCGAATTCCACTACAAAAAGGTGACATAACCGCAATTACTGCCCTTCCTGACTCATTTTTCTTCTTTCTTTCTTTATTCTGGTTCTAGCGAAATGAGAACTAATTAAGACAAAACAAACAGAAAAACATGTTCGATCTCTGAGCCACCTAACTTTCACTAAACAGCAACGACAAACACTTCCTGTAAGTCATGTATTTTAAGGCTGGAGAGGAGGAGCTATGTGACCTTGTCCTGTTGTAATGTAGCAGTCACCCTTTGTTTGCTGCACTCTGTTGAAAACATTGCAGTCACGTAACACCTACCTGTCATGCTTACCTCCACAGCCCCCCTTCTCTGTAGACAAAAGACCCCAGAGCTGTGAAGGAAGGAAAGGGCCAGGGATGACAGTTGCATGACAAGTCATTCTTTCTCCCCAGTGGGATCGAATGAATTATTTTCCTTTGCTAATAGAGTACAGAGACTACAAGCATCGAATGAAATGTAGGGTTTTAATGCCAACTGATACATTTATCATAAAACTGTTTCACAAGGATTCCTTTGGAGCAGTATTTTTCAAACTGGGATGCATGACTAGTCAGTGTATTGTGAAATCATCTTCTAGGTTGCAGCCAGCATTTAAAAAATTGCAGTGATAAGACTGAATAGAAAATACCAGAATGCAGGTAGAAAATCTCAAATGTCAGGGTAGGTAGCATTTCAGGAAATTTTTGTTATAAATATGTGTGTGTGTTCTGTATTTCAGTATGAACATACTTCTTACTGTAGGTGGCAGACAAAAAAAAAGTTTGAAAACGCTGCTTTAGAGGTTGTTGCAGTAGGGTTTTTGTTTTAATAGATTCAGGTTCCCAGCAAAGTTGAGTGGAAGGGACAGAGATTTCTCATATGCTCCCTGGCAGAGGGATTTTATATGTGATACATAGTGATACATATGATGATAGATTTGTGATATATAGCTCACGTATCCCCACTCATTCTTTTTTTTTTCTTCTCTCCCTCCTCCTTCAACCCACCTGCTGACATGGTCCCCTTAGATCTTACCTTGAAAGAGACTGCAGAGCATCTATAAAGCTAGCCTGCCTTAACTGGGCAAAGAAATGCCATTGTCGGTTCCTGAAAGAGAGGCTCTGTAGGAAGAGAGGCCAGGGAGGTAGGCATGTGCAGGGTGGACTGGAAGGTGTGCTGGAGGAACCCTGTGGAAAGCCGATGCCAGAGCCAGGGGTGCAGGGACGGGCGCGGACTAGTGTGGGAACAAGTAATAGGACCAGAAAGGGCTGGTCCCGTCTGAAAGATGCAACAGTTAGCCAGTCTACCAGATCTGGACTCACACCAATGGGGCAGAAGTCTCGGAAGAGAGCATGTATGCTGTTTGACCATATGGAAGAATCGTTCCTAGTTAAAGCAGGCCAGCAGGGGGGTAAACCTCAGGAAGCCATGTACTTACTTCTGATCAAAATCCCAAGGGATTTGCCCCCCACACCCCCAAAAAATTAGGAAAATGAATCTTCAGTAGTTATCTGGGAGAATACTGCAAGAATACAGAAGAGTCTTGGAAGAAGAATGTTTCATCAACATTAGATCTATAAATATTAAGAGTCTGTCATTTTAGTCTGGCTGGTTCAGTTGGTGGTGCTTGTGACCCAGTCTGGGGGTCATGAGTTCGAGCCCCACGTTGGGCGTGGAACCTACTTAAAAAAAAAAAAAAGGAATCTGTCATTTTAGAAAGGTGAAATCATTAAAATGATGGGATACTGATATAAAAATAGCCTCACAGACTGATGGAACAGAAAAGGGAGCCTCAGAAGAGACATTGGTCTGTATGAGGATTTAGCGTGTGGCGGGGGAAGAGGGAGTGCAGATCCGTTGGAGGAGGGGTTCTTCATGAGTTGGCTTAAATTTGATGAAAAAGATATAAATATGAAAATAATAAGGAAGGATGTGGGTGAATATTTGACTCACGTCTGGGGTGGGGAAGATTTTATCAGTATAAAAGCTACGGAAGAAAACTGTTAAAGGAAAAGATTGATAGAGTTGAGGATATTTAAAAATAAAAGACCCCCACAACTTACACATATACATAAATAACTCCAAACATGAAGAACCCCAAACAACATTAAGGTAACTAAATTGGTGAAAAACATTGTTCATTAACATGACAGATTAATGATTATTTTTCTTAATATGGAGAGAGTTAATGCAGGTTAATAAGAAAAAATGACTTTTCCAATGAAAAAATGGACAGCAGTCTTATGAAAAATAGCTCATAAATGTGAAAAAAGTCATCCTTTATTAACTAAGGAATTAAAATTTATAATAATGAAAAACATTTCTTTTCACCGCTCTCAGTGGCCAATATTTTAGAAATATTCGGTATTTAAGTATCGAACACTCCCCTTTGCTTAGCCCAGCTAAGTGAGATGGATTTGCCAGTCAGTGTCAGGAGCCTCAGAAAGAGTGTCACATCTGTTGACACGGTAGTAACACTTCAAGGAACCTGAAGTGGTCAGAAATGTGGCCAAAAATGGATGAAGAAAAATCGCAGCATTATTTACAGCAGCCAAACTACAACAAACAACTTCGATTTCCACAGTAGGAGAATTCAGTAAGTCATGTGCTTAGTATTATGTGTTTATGGTGACGTCTCCATGATGGACTATTATTCAGCTTTAAAATGATATTTATAAAGGCTTCTTTAAAGACAAGAGAAAAGTACCTTTGTCATTTGAGAGGAGTATGTTCTAAGACTGTGAATTAACGAGTCAGGTCTAAGTTGTTAGCAGATTCCTGGGTCTCTAACAGATAATTTGAAGACACTAATACAGGAAAGAGAAAGGATCTAACCCTAACCCGAATTTATAAAAGTTGGACACAAATTCTGCCACCAAAATAAAAGCTTTTACTCTATGTATCATTTAGTGGTAATAACCAAAAACTTAGGAGAAAAACAAAATCTTCTTAAAGATTTTTATTTATTTGAGAGAGCAAGAGCACAGAGGGAGAGTGAGAGGGAGAAGCAGACTCCCAGCTGAGCAAAGAGCCCCTTGTGGAGTTCAGACCCAGAACCCTGAAATGCTTACCGACTGAGCCACCCAGGCGCCCGGAGAAAAACAAAATTTTAACTGTTAATCCGAGTTAGTAAAACACAGGGAATGCTGCATTCAGGCACAGACCGAGGAATCCACTTCTGTGCCACAGCTTCACTGTGCATTAAAGCCACGCAGTAAAGTGACACATTAATGCATTTCATGAAGTTTTAGGTGACTCTTGAATGGGAGCATCCATGTGAAATTGGTAAATACTGCCATTTACAATTTAAGTGCCACAAAGCCAGGTATGGAAGTGTGTATGCAATATGATATCAATTATGTAAAAAAAGAAAAGCATCCACATACATACATAACTATATATGTAAACTATGCATATGTCTAGGTTAAACAAACACTGGAAGGAAATGTATAATCATGGTTGCTACCTCTGGGTAGTATGACTGAGGTTGGTTTGGTTTTCTTCTGTTTTTCTCTCCAAATTGTTTTTAATGATCAGACTTATGTTTTATGTAGAACCAGATAAAAATGAATCCTTTTTCAAAGTAACACGCTTATATAATATCCTTGTTTTTCCCGGGCCTTAAGAAGTGCATGCTGCTCGGGTGCCTGGGTGGCTCAGTTGGTTAAGCGACTGCCTTCGGCTCAGGTCATGATCCTGGAGTCCCGGGATCGAGTCCCGCATTGGGCTCCCTGCTCCTTGGGAGCCTGCTTCTCCCTCTGCCTCTCTCTCTCTCTGTCTCTCATGAATAAATAAATAAAATCTTTAAAAAAAAAAAAGAAAAAGAAATGAATGCAGCTCATTTACGGGGGCAGGGGCGGTCGGCAGGGCCCTCTGCGTGCTCCCTCTGCTGTCAGACGTTCTCCTCGGCCCCAGAGCTGGATCACCTAGCCTGGACCCCAGCCGTGAGTGCCAGGCGCTTAGGCTGGATGATATTATCCTTCCTCACTCACTGATGCTCCCTTGACAAGAAGAATTAATGTTTCATGATGACCCTTTTTTCTTCATACCAGTTAGAAAACAGGGCATCCCATTGATTGATTTCAAATCTTTTTCTTCTTCCAGGAGACAGGCAGGAGAATGACAAAGAGAACGTGAATTTGGAAAATTGTAGAGGCCAGGAAGCTTCTGATGTCTCCTGTCAAGCGTCAGGTGAGGCACCTTCTCAGGCTTCCTTGGGTGGCCTCGTCAGTGAGCATGAACCGAGATGCTTTGGAGAAGGGGACAGTCTCCCCGAGGCTCTGGAAAACCTTCAGGGTGAGGGGCCAGCAAGCCAGCTTTCGCCCCACGGAAGGAATTCTGGGAAACCGCACTTGGCTAATCCCCATCCGGAAGAACTGTCCCTGCTGTGGCTGGAGGAGAAGAGAGAGGCCTCTCCAAAAGGGCAGCCGAGAGCCCCCATGGCCCAGAAACTCCCCACCTGCAGGGAGTGTGGGAAAACCTTTTATAGGAATTCTCAGCTGGTTTTCCACCAAAGAACTCACACCGGAGAGACGTACTTTCAGTGCTCCACCTGCAAAAAAGCCTTTCTACGGAGTTCAGACTTTGTGAAGCATCAGAGGATCCACACGGGAGAGAAGCCTTGTAAATGTGATTACTGTGGGAAAGGCTTTAGTGACTTCTCAGGATTGCGTCACCATGAGAAGATCCACACGGGAGAGAAACCCTATAAATGTCCCATCTGTGAGAAGAGTTTTATTCAGAGATCCAACTTTAATCGACATCAGAGAGTTCACACAGGAGAGAAACCTTACAAGTGTTCCCGCTGCGGGAAGAGTTTCAGCTGGAGCTCGAGCCTTGATAAACATCAAAGATCCCATTTAGGAAAGAAGCCCTTTCAGTAGTCAGGCTCTCTTAGCCCAGTTCTGGCTCTGGTCCTTTTAAAAATATTTCGTTCCATCTGGAGAAACTGCAGCTCTTAAAGACCAGCCCTGTTCTCTCTTTTTTTTATCATCATGGATGAGAGAGGAGAGTTACCTGAACACGGCTTTGGACTGGGAGGACATGGTGGCTTCTGGGTTGGATTTTGCCTTGGTTTATTTTCTTGCTTCTGTGTCAGGAGAAGGAATAGTCTTCGTCTTTCAGCTCATTTCTTGTTTTGGAGATCCTGTTTTATAAGTGCTGTCTGGGGAGAGTTTAACTGGATGAGCCGCAGTTGCTGCTCGTGGGAAGGACCTCAGGTCAGCTCTTTAGGTTGGGGGTCCTAGAGCAGGTCTCCTGTTACAGAAGGGGCAGCGGAGAGGGCCAGGGAGCTCCCGTGTGTTCTCTGTCACACAGGTACAAAAAATTAACTTCAGGTGTCCCTCGTTTTAAATAAACTTAACGACACTCTCTGTCTTGTGTCTCTAGTGTTGACTGTGTTTTAACTGTAACTCTAAGTGCATTTTCTCATAGAAGACCCTAAATGGTGGTTGAGCTCCTGATCATCCCGTACAAACTTACCAAGTTTATCAGTCAGCTGAAGAGTAATAGGAAATCACTAACCTGGTGTCCAGGTGTGAGAACTCGGTTAGTGCTGGGCATTCTCTCTCTCAGGTAAGTGTGTCATTCCTGGTGTCCTTCTGAGCTCACCTCCCACTTGCTCAGCTGCCGCAACCTGCCCCTCTTCCTCCCGGCTGTCAGTTTTCCAAAGTGTTGTGTGCTTAAAAATGATTTTTTTCTTTTTTTTTTTTTTAAGTAGGCTCCGTGCCTAGCGTGGAGCACAGTGTGGGGCTTGAACTCACGGCCCTGAGATCGAGACCTAGGCTGAGATCAAGAGTCGGACGCTTAACCGACTGAGCCACCCAGGCGCCCCTAAAATGATCTTCATTATCTCATTTGGTCAGTAGGTATTAGGAAGAAGTCAGTAGTACTGATCTACTTTGAGTTCTGTCTGGAGGTGTGACACGTATATCTGACCAGCACACTTGTCCTTTCTTCCAAATCACATGCCCCAAAGTGTCCTGCTCTCAGAGAGTGAGACTTCCGTCTTCCTTCCGTCTTGGTCCTCCGCTCGCCTGCTCTTGTTTTATTGTTGCTGAGGACCAGGAAGGATGAGGCTCCCGAGGAGGGCAGAGCTGTCCCTCTGCAAACAGATTAATCTGTAGGCACGAAACTAGGTTGTTGGCAAACCATGGCAAGTATGTTACAGGTTGATGAAGAGAGACAAAACTCAAGTTGGAATTCCTGGATTCCAGAGGAATTTATTAACTCCCTTATGGCATGGAGGTGAGGAGTAAGGCCCCTCATTAGGGGGTGCAGGAACCACAGGGCAGAAAGCAGGAAAATCATGGAGGAATTAGCATTTGATTTTGTATTCGGTACAGCAGGGATTTGTAGGGTGTTGGGATTTTATTTATTTATTTGACAGAGAGAGCACAAGCAGGGGGTGGTGGCAGAGGGAGAGGGAGAAGCAGACTCCCTGCTGAGCAGGGGGCCGGACTTGGGACTCCATCCCAGGACCCTGGGATCACAACCTGAGCCGATGGCAGACACTTAACTGACTGAGCCACCCAGGCGTCCCAGGATTTTATGTTTTAGATCAGCAGTTCTGCAGGTGTGTTCCCTGGACTGGCAACATTGGAAGTCTGTTAGATTTACTGAATCATAAATTCTGAAGGGTGGGGCCCAGCAGTCTTTGTTTTAGCCAACCCCCCAGGGGGACTCTGATGCCTGCTCAAGTTTTAGGGCCACTGTTCTAAATCATAATTCATTAAGGATATGTAGGATTAAGGATTCTAGAAGGAATACTGGGCCCTCCTGGACTCTTCTTAGCATACAGGCCTGCCTGTAAGAGCTCTTTAGAATTCTGGAACCCTTTGGGCTTCCAGTGAAAATCTGTTCCGCAGAGAAAAACCTAGAAAACTGTTAGGTTCAAAAGCTTTAAGTGAAGGGTTTCTCCATAGGTCCCTCTTAAACGATCTGAAGGATGAGAGAGAGACAAGGAAACAGCCTACCTCATTCACAGTTGTGTTCTCAGCGAACCGTAGGTGTTGGACAAATTGAAGGCATGTGTGAATTAATGAAGGATAAATATCATATGTATACTTCCCTTATCCTCTAGAGCAGTGATCAGCAAAATATGGCCCACCATCTGTTTTTGCAAATATAGTTTTATTGGAGCCCAGCCACACCCACTTACGTATGTGCTGTGGCCACTTTGGGGCCACAGTGGCAGCACTGAGCCACTGCAACAGAGACAAATGGCCTGCAAAGCCTAAACTGTTTACTGTCTGGCCCTTGACAGAAAAAGTTGGGTGATCCCTAATCTAGAGTACTGTTTCTCAAACTGTGATGTGTGTACGTATCACTTGGGGAGCTTGTCAAAATGCAGACTCGGGGGTGAAGCTGAAGTGTCTAGTCCACAGAGTAGCCGGGAGCTAGAGCACTGATGTCGGTGCCGCACACCAACATCGGGGCTCAAGGGTCTGTGGTTCGTTTCTCTTGGTCACTTCAGGATCATGTATGACTCTGCCGCTCTCAAAGCTGGGGCCAGACACACTTAAAGAATCAATCACTTTATTAGGAAAGGTGCAGTGTTTTGAAATGCTTCTCCCCTAGTTCTTGGGTCTGGACTCCTCCAGCTCTGCCTTCTCTCCAGGTTCCCTACGAGAATTCTACAGAATTGTGAGTACGTGTGATTCCTTATCTCTACGTCTCCGTCTCCCCTCACCCACTTGTCCTGGGCAGCCTCCAGCCCCGCCTTGTTTTCTTAGCGGTTGTGCAGGCAGCTAAGTCTGGAGAAGCAAAGCGACTCCAGCTAGAACCCACTTAGATGGCTTCTCCTTAGTCTTCAGGTTGAAAGTCCACACGTAGGTGGGTCCCCGCTGACGAGTCTTGTACACCGGACAAGGATAGATGCTGCGGCAGTCCTGCTTATCTGCAGGAACGGCCTTGATGAACATCACAGGCATGGGGGGTGTCAGATCCTTCAGCTTTGCCTCTGTAATGATCCCAGCCTGAGGACAAGAACAGGAAAAGAGCCAGCTTAGATCAGATCCAGAGCCTGGCCAGCCAGCCTTCTGTCCACAGACCCAGTAGCTGAGAGCCTGGGAAGGCCTGCCTTTCAGGTTCACTTGGCAACCCACGTTGGAATGCATCCGAGATGCGGAAAACATATTTCTTCTGTTTTCCAGCCTAAATCACTTTTTGAAGGAGAGTTCTAGAAGTTGTTACGTGCCATCTACAAATTAATCCCTTTGAAACTTGAGTCTCTTTATATTTTTTCACGCATTCATTTCATAAGCATGTCAGATGCAACTGTTTGCCGGGTGGTCCTGCTAGGTGCTAGGGATTTAAAGACGAGTAAGACACAGTTCCTGTCAGCAAATGCTTTAGATTTTAAGAGTTTGGTGATGTCCCGTTCAGTTTCATATGGGACCTCATCCACCCTCAAGAGCATTTGGACTTTTTGAGCAGAGCTATGTTCTCTCTGTAGTCATGTGATAGGGAGCTAACTATTCTGTAGCTTTCCAGCCTCTTTGGTTTTCTGAGATGTCCCACTAGACTGATCTAGGACGGTTTTTTTTTTTTTTTAATTGCTGAATTTATTTATTTATTATTAGTCCTGAGAAATGTTCTGAGGAACAAAAGCGTTCCTTCATGAAACAAGCTTGGGAAATGGTGCTTACCACTACCCTGGGCTTGAAGCTTTATAGTGCATGCTAGCACACTGAGGACAAGAAATCCTAGCAGTAAAGAAAGGAGATGAACTTCATTTAACCTGGGGTTCCCCAAACTTATTTGACCACAGGACTTTTTTCTTTGCAACCTATTTGTTTCCCATGGTGCTAGTGTTTTATGGGAACACTTCCCATACTTTGGGAAGTGTTGACATAGAGTGATTCACAGATTCCTTGCTTTTGTCCTGGTGATTGGGCTCCTTCTACGGATAGAGCTTGGTTCATTTTCCATGAAATTTATTTAAAGGGGAGAATGTGCCTTTTCAGTTGTATTAGAAGTTGGTATGAGGCATGCAGAATAACAGAACTAAGGTAAATGGTGGGGACCCCCTTAAGCCCAACAACCAAGTGTTTAGGGCAGGGAGTGGGAGCAGGGGTAGAACCTTTCTTTTTTCCCCACGTGCCATAAAACCAATCCTTTTAAAATGTGCAAGTCAGTGTTTTTAAATTACAGTCATCACTTTGTAATTCCAGAATATCTTCATCACTCCCAAAAGGAACTAACCACTAGCAGTCACATTAGTAGTAGGGTATTGGTGTCTCCAGTTATGGTGGTTGAACTCTCTATTCGAATGGCATAGTCGTTGCCATCTCTTGATCTTCAACCTATTGTGTCTTTGAATCTAAAGTGTGTCGCTTGTGGACAGCGTACAGTTGAATCAGAAAAATCCATTCAGCCATTCTCTGCTTTTCAACTGTAGTGTTTAATCTGTATACATTTAATGTAATTACTGATAAGGTAAGGTTTACATCTGCCACTTGATTATTTGCTTTCCGTGTCTTCTGTCTTTTTTGTTCCTCGGTTTCTCCTTTGCTTCCTTCTTTTCTGTTCAGTAGATATATTTTAGTGTACCATTTTGATTCCCTTATTAATGCTTTTGTTGTTTTATTGATTTTTATCAGGTTTTTAAATTTTATTATGTTAGTCACCGTACATCATTAGTTTTTGATGTGGTGTTCCATGATTCATTGTTTTCGTGTAACACCCAGTGCTCCATGCAGTACGTGCCCTCCTTAATACCCATCACCAGGCTAACCCATCCCTCCTCCCCCCTCCCCTCTAGAACCCTCAGTTTGTTTCTCAGAGTCCATAGTCTCTCATGGTTCGTCTCCCCCTCCGATTTCCGCCCCCCCTTCATTTTTCCCCTCCTTCTCCTAATGTCTTCCATGCTATTCCTTATGTTCCACAAATAAGTGAAACCATATGATAATCGACTTTCTCTGCTTGGCTTATTTCACTTAGCATAATCTCCTCCAGTCCCATCCATGTTGACGTAAAAGTTGGGTATTCATCCTTTCTGATGGCTGAGTAATATTCCATTGTATATACGGACCACATCTTCTTTACCCATTCATCTGTTGAAGGGCATCTCGGCTCCTTCCACAGTTTGGCTATTGCGGACATTGCTGCTATGAACATTGGGGTGCATATGGCCCTTCTTTTCACTACGTCTGTGTCTTTGGGGTAAATACCCAGGAGTGCAATTGCTGGGTCATAGGGTAGCCCTGTTTTTAATTTTTTGAGGCATCTCCACACTGTTTTCCAAAGGGGCTGTATCAACTTGCATTCCCACTAACAGTGTAAGAGGGTTCCCCTTTCTCCACAACCTCTCCAACATTTGTTGTTTCTTTCCCTGTCCATTTTTTGCCATTCTAACTGGTGTAAGGTGGTACCTCAATGTGGTTTTGATCTGAATGTCCCTGATGGCTGATGATGATGAACGTTTTTTCATGTGTCTGTTAGCCATTGGTATGTCTTCCTTGGAGAAGTGTCTGTTCATGTCTTCTGCCCATTTTTTGACTTGACTATTTATTTGGGTGTTGAGTTTGAGAAGTTCTTTATAGATCTTGGATACCAGCCCTTTATCTGTAGTGTCATTTGCAAATATCTTCTCCCATTCAGTGGGTTGCCTCTTTGTTTTGTTGACTGTCTTCTTTGCTGTGCAGAAACTTTTTATCTTGATGAAGTCCCAAAAGTTCATTTTTGCTTTTGTTTCACTAGCCTTTGGAGATGTATCTTGAAAGAAGTTGCTGTGGCCGATGTCAGAGAGGTTACTGCCTACGTTCTCCTCTAGGATTTTGATGGATTCCTGCCTCACATTGAGGTCTCTCATCCATTTTGAGTTTATCTTTGAGTATGGTGTTAGAGAATGGTCGAGTTTCATTCTTCTGCATGTGGCTGTCCAATTTTCCCAGCACCATTTATTGAAGAGACTGTCTTTTTTCCATTGCATATTTTTTCCTGCTTTGTCGAAGATTATTTGACCATAGAGTTGAGGGTCCATGTCTGGGTTCTCTATTCTGTTCCATTGGTCTAAATGTCTGTTTTTGTGCCAGTACCATGCTGTCTTGGTGATCACTGCTTTGTAATATGGCTTGAAATCGGGCAACGTGATGCCCTCAGCTTTGTTTTTCTTTTTCAGCATTTCCTTGGCAGACTGGATAAAAAGACAGGACCCATCCATATGCTATCTACAAGAGACTCATTTTGAACCTAAAGATACATCTTTTATTTTTTTAAAAAATTATTTTCTTAGTGGTTTCCCTCGGAATTATAATTAACATCAATGTATAAAAATCTGCTTCAGGCTAATACTAACTTAATTTCAGTAGTATATAAAAACTTTATTCCTAGATAAGTTCCATTCCTTACCCTTCCTATGCTGAAGACCTCGTGTTGTTTTCATTATACAGATTACATCTTTTATGCTTATCAGCACAGATTTATAGTTATTGCTTCTTGCAGTTGTCTTTTAAATCAGATAGGAAATCATGGAACACTACATCAAAAACTAATGATGTAATGTATGGTGATTAACATAACATAATAATAATAAAAAAAATCAGATAGGAAAGAAAAGTTACAAAAAAAATTCATTGATACTTTCTTTTATATTTACATACATAATTACCTTTACTGGTATTCTATTTCTTCATGTGGACTTGAGTTACTGTCTTGTAACTCATTTCATCCTGAAGGACTCCCTTAAGTATTTCTTATAGGTCTGGCCTGCTAGTGGTAAATTCTCTCTCTCTGTCTCTCTCTCATTGTGAACTCATGACCCTGAGATCAAGACCTGAGCTGAGATCAAGAGTCGGATGCTCAGCAGACTGAGCCACCCAAGTGCCCCTCTTTCTTTCTTTTTAACCTGGGAATGTCTTAATTTCTCCTTCAGTTTTGAAAGATAGTTTTACTGGATATAGAATTGTTGGCTGACAGTCTTTTTCTTTCAGCAGTTTGGCCTTTCATTCTACTGTCTTCTGGCCTTCCTGGTTTCTTATGAGAAATCAACTGTTCATCCCATTGAGGAGCCCCTGTATGTGATGAATTGCTTTTCTCTTGCTGCTTTCAAGATTCTCTCTTTATCTTATAACATGTCAAGGTATGGATTTCCTTTCCTTTTCCTTTTCCTTTCTCCTTTCCTTTCCTTGTTTCTAAGTAGGCTCCACAACCAGCATGGAGCCCAATGCAGGGCTTAAACATATGACCCTGAGATCAAGTCCTGAGCTGATACCAAGAGTTGGAGGCTTAACTGACTGAACCACCCAGGTGCCTCAAGGTATGGATTTCTGAGTTGATCCTATTTGGATTTTGTTGAGATTCTTGCATGTGTAGATTGATGTTTTTATCAAATCTGGAAAGTGGTCATTATTGCCTCAAATATTCTTTCTGGCTCTGTTTCTCTCTCCTCTTCTTTTGGGACTCCCACTGTGTGGATGTTTGTATGCTTGATGGTATTCCTCAAGTTTTTAAACTGTTCATTTGTCTTCATTTTATCTTTCTGCTTCTCAGGTTGGATAATCTTAGTTGATGTATTCCAAGTTTAGTGATTCTCGCCTACTGAAATCTTCTGTTGAATCCCTCTATTGAATTTTCATTTAAGGTATTACAGTTTTCAGCTCTAGAGTTACTACTCGGTTTTTAAAAGTGTAATTTCTATCCCATTATTAGTATTCTCTGTTCAGTGAGACATTGTTAACATACTTTCCTTTGGTTCTCTGAACATATTTAAAATGGCTGATTAAAAGGCTTTGTCTGGTATGTCCCGCTTCTGAACTCCCTTAGGGACCATTTCTGTTGACTGCTTTTTCCCCTTTTTGTTTCTTTGCATGTCTCATAATTTTTTGTTGAAAACTTGAACATTTTAAATAATAAATGTGGCAACTCTGGTGATCAGATCTCCCTCCACAGGATTTGTTGTTTGTTTAGCGACTTTTCTGAACTTATTCTGTAAGTCTTTGTCACATAGCACTATGACTACTGAAGTGGCCTGCTCAGTTAGCTTAGTGGTTAGCAAGTAACAGGACAGAGATTTTGGTAAGTCTTACAGATTTTGCTCAGGGGCTCTGTGTATGAGTTGGGCATGCCTTCAGTGCTCAGCAGGGCAGTTTAACACTGTGCCTTAGCCTTCACTTCCTGCTTTCACAGAGCCTCGAGGTCAGCCACAGGTGAGCTTCCAGCCTTCTCACGTGTTTCTTGAGCATGTGCACAGTGCTGCACATGGGCGTGGCCTTCTGGGTTTCCAGTGACATGTTGGAGGTCATCCCATTCTGCAGCTTGTCCTTGTGAGCTTTTTGGTTAGCCTATTATTTGCACTGTTACTACCACCTCAGGCAAGCTGCAAGGTTAAACAGTTGTCTTTGACTGTTTTCAGTACATGCCCTTGGGGAGACAGGCTGTTGCCCTGGGTGAGCTCCCACTCAGGTCAAGTAGAGACAGACTTTTAAATGGGGTCTTCCGGGAAACCAACAAGTAGGGAAAATTATGACAGTTTTCTAGGAATGGGGCTTTGAAAGTACTCCCAACTCCATTTTGCCTCCTTCAGTGGCTGGGAGGCTGCTGTTTCAAGGCCACCACAGAGTCGGTGGGGATGGGATGGGAGCAGAGCAAGTTAAAAGGCTGCAAAGTGGGGGGTGGGAGGGATTGGGTGGCTGGGTGATAGACATCGGGGAGGGTATGTGCTATGGTGAGCACTGTGAATTGTACAAGACTGATGAATCACGGATCTGTACTTCTGAAACAAATAATGCAATATATGTTAAGAAAAAAAGAAGAAGAAGAAGAAGATAGCAGGAGGGGAAGAATGAAGGGGAGTAAGTCGGAGGGGGAGACGAACCATTAGAGACGATGGACTCTGAAAAACAAACTGAGGGTTCTAGAGGGGAGGGGGTGGGGGGATGGGTTAGCCTGGTGATGGGTATTAAAGAGGGCACATTCTGCGTGGAGCACTGGGTGTTATGCACAATGAATCATGGAACACTGCATCAAAAACTAATGATGTAATGTATGGTGGTTAACATAACCATAAAAAAAATTATTAAAAAAATTAAAAAATAAAAGGCTGTAAAGCTTTTTTTGCTGAGGGTTGGACATTTTTCTTTAATAAGCACTCTTTGGGGGTGCCTGGGTGGCTCAGTCAGTTAAGTGTCTGCCTTCGGCTCAGGTCATGATCCCAGGGTCCTGGGATTGAGCCCTGCGTCGGGCTCCCTGCTCATCGGAGAGCCTGCTTCTCCCTCTGCCTCTGACCCTCCTCCCTGCTTGTGTGTGCGCTCTCTCTCTCTCTCAAATAAATAAATAAATCTTAAAAAACCAAAACAAAACACTGTTTGGATTCCTGAAAGCCTTTGGTTGATTTCTAGAGTTCTTTTTTTCTTCTTTTTTAAAAGATTTTATTTACCTATTTGAGAGAGAGAGAGAGTGAGAGAGCACAAGCAGGGGGAGAGGGACTCGATCCCGGGACCCTGGGATCATGACCTGAGCCAAAGGCAGATGCTTAACTGACTGAGCCACCCAGGTGCCCCGATTTCTAGAGTTCTGTGAAAAAGTTGGTTCTGACAATTTTGGGGCAGTGTTAGGATTTTATGGGGGAGAGGATTTTTGGATGTTCTTACTCTTAATTTTGCTAAAATCTTTCTGGAGGCAGAAACTGAGAACCAGAGTTCTTGGTGGGTGGGTATTGCTTTTTGGGAAGTTATTATTATGAAGAAACAAGGTAATAAAATATTGGAGGTAGATGATTGGAATCCGTGTTCTTTCCCCATCCCCCACAGTGCCAGTGCTCGTCTGAACTTCTTCCCTAATTGTTCAGTTTGGTGTTTTTTGGTATTCTAGTTCTGGCCACCCTAGGCCACCCTATACCTACAATCCATGTGTGATCCCCACTGACAGAATCTTGGACAAATGTTCAGGTGGAGGGGGGATGTCAGCTTCCTTCTCAAGGTTCAGGCTGTATAAACACTGTCCCGCTTCATTGTCCTCTCTGTTTGTTAACAGGCCCTCGATTGGTTTCATTGGGCTGCTGTAACGAGTTACTACAGATTTGATGGCTTAAAACAGAAATGTCTTCTTTCACAGTGCTGAAGGCCAGAGTCTTAAATCAAGGTGTAGGCAGGGTCTGTTCCTTCTGGAGGCTCAGAGGCAGAAACTAGCCCACGCCTCTCTCCTAGCTTCTGGGGGTGCTGGCAGTCCTTGGCGTTCCTTGGCTCGTAGATGTATCACTCCAGTCTCTGCCTCTGTCCTCACAGGACGTCTGTTTCTGTGCTTCCAACATGGCCTTATAAGGATACCAGTCCTTGGATTTAGGGCCTGCTCCGCTCTAGTATAGCCTCATCTTAACTCCTTATCTCTGCAAAGACCCTATTTCTAGACAGGGGCACATTCTGAGGTTCTGGTAGAATTTTGGTAGACGCTGTTTAATCCAGGACAGCTCTATATGTATATTTATAGGACCTTCTACGATACTGTAGATCTTCTAACAGTTTTTCCCCATTAACTTTGTACCGATTGCTGGGAACAGTTAAGTGTCACTTACCAAGCAGGGTATTTGACTAAGCACTTCTTCCGGGTCGTGTGTATAACAAACGTAAACTTGTTCTCGAGTTACCCATCCTTGCTTGTGTCATTTATCCGAGCCAGTCTCACGGTGACTCCAATTTTTATTAGGCTTCAGTGAGGAATCCTTTCAGAATGTCCTGTGAAATAGTATCCACTGGGTTCCCTTTGCAGATGGGGGCAAAGTAAAAGGCAGAAGGGACGCCTGCCCTCCTAGGGCTCATGGATGAGGAGAGTGACTGCGGTGGGCAGGGTCAGCCAGTAGCATGGATAGCTGGCTCCCAACACTTTTGGAGCACCCTCTGTGTGCCAGGCAGGCCCTATTCCAAGGGTCCTCCAGAGAAACTAATTTAATCTTGGCAGCAGCTCTCTTTTCCCATTTAACACTTGAGGAAACAGATCTGGAGAGCCAGAACCACATCCCAGGGTCACAGCGGCAATAGACGGTGGTGCTGTGATTCAGATCCAGCCAGTTGGGGTCCAGAGCCCTTGCCTTTAATCACCGCACTCTACCCACGCTGAAGGTCTGTGCTCTTTGCACCATCCCTGGCTGCACGAAAGTGGCTTGGCAGCCTCAAGGGAAGGGTACCTTGGTCAGAAGATTCCAGGGCATCCCTTTTCAGGATCACACTCTGTGGAGGCAGTCTTTGTAAGTTAATCAGCCCACAGAGGACGCCCTGAGGCTCCCCGCAAGACTTACCTGTGCGTCCCAGCGAGCGCCTTCCATGAAGAGGCCATGGATGTAGGCCCCTTCCCGAGGGGGGCTCCTGAAGTCTTCCCTGTTCTTCTTTGTCACGTCACACTGCAGGGCCATCTGGTCCAGTGGCCACTCATTCTTGCGGGCTGTGGACTGCATGATAGCGGTCAGGAAGGACTGGGGGTTGAAGAAGCCTGTCAGCCACACTGTGGAGGGCATTGCCACGTCTCCTAGCCAGGCCTCCAACTCTTTGATTCGGTTTAGGAGGTCCAAAAACCAGGCTCCCAGGCCTGCCATGGAAGGGTAGGCTCGCCTGGCCCAGGACTCTGGCACCGTGTCCAGGTACAGAGCGTTCTGTAACGTCTCCATGTCGCTGGTCATGGTCAGCTCCCCCTGTAGACAAAGAGCAGGAGGGCGAAGAGTGAGGGGGCAGCAAGTCCCTGGAAACAACCTGCCTTAGGGACCTCTGGCTAGTGGCACACAGCCAGACAGACAGGAGATGGTGACATACGGACTGTCCCTGTCTAATACTTGATTTGCAGACTTTAAAACTCTCCCTGCTCCACAATATCAGAGTCTACACCCATCTACTGACAGTAGTTAATGTCCACTGCGGACCTCAGACCCCCTGTGGGTTCCCTGCTCCTTCCACCCACCCTGAAGCTCGGGTTCTCCTCCCACCTCTGCAACAGCCCTGCAGGCTTCTGTGCGCAGCTCAGAAGCACAAGAGGCCCAAGCCTGAAAGATCTGTGTGGCCCCAAGTCAAGGATTTCCTCCGGAATCAAGGTATTAGATACATAGCCCACTTGAGGGAACCCTCTTCCAACCACTACGTGAAATTCGTAAAGAAAGGTTCCATTGAAAACCATTGTTAAATTTGATTCTGTAACTTTGGTTATGACAAGGATCTCCAGCAATTTCTTGAAGACCCCATCTCTAGCACAGCAATTTCTGCACCGGGGTTAGAGTATGCGACAAGGTTTGTGTTATGGACCGAATGTTTGTGTCCCTCCCCCACCCACCCAAATTTCTATGTTGAAATCCTAACCCCCAGTGTGATGGTATTAGGAGGTGATTGGGTCACGAGGTGGGGACCTCATGAATGGGATTAGTGCTCTTGTTATATACAGACAGCCCACCCCCTCGCCCCTTCTGTCTTGTGAGGACAGGGTAGAAAGATGACTGGCTGTGAATCAGGAAGTGGGCCCTCCCCAGACACCAGATCTGCCTGTGCCTCTGGGACTGTGAGAAGTACATTTCTATTGTTGATAAGCCATCCAGGCTGGTATTCAATTATAGCAGCCTATGTGGACTGAGGCCGCTTGGCTTGCCCCAAGTGCAGACTGCTAAAATGTCGGAGAGGCCTCTGTGTGGCCTGGAATCACCTTGCTTGTGGGATAGGAGACCTGGACCATGTAATTCTAGGCTCAACTCTTTCTCCTAACTCTTGGGACTGTTAAAAAAAAAAAAAAGTTAAACACACCTTTCTTAAAGAGGAACGTATTTCGGGTCCCAAGTGACAGCTAGAGACTAATCCTCTAACCCCTGATTTATAGGAAATAGATGAATAACTTCTTTGTGAACTTCACAGAGAGACTGTAGCTATTTCATATATACTTTCTATACATGGAGTCGAGTGGCTGGGCTATTTTCAGATATAAATACCTTAATATTTTAAAGAAAAGGCAAACATCCCAGTCAGACCAGTGCCAGGTCAGCCAGCCTGATTTACAGCCTGAGTTACAGATGTTTTCCCCTCAAGTAAATGGACTCTATTACAGTGACAGAAAACATTTCCTTCCTTGTGTGTGCTCAGCTGCATGGAGGTGGCTGACCAGAGCGTGGGGAAGGGTTCCGAGGCCACCTCAGGGTGTCCTGTGTGGGTAGGTTTCCCCAAGGGTCTTCCGACATGGACAGTATTATCGGATTGAAACAAAAAATTGTTCTCTTTACTGGACTCTCTACTTCAGAGGACCCTTCTGAAAAGATGCTTTAAAAAAATACTCAAGCTTGTGAGACAGGGTCTTTGTCATGCCTGCAGTGAGTGTGGTAATTCATTATTGATTTTTATTTACTATTTTTTAGAGAGTGTGTGCGTGCAAACGGGGTTTGGTGGGGAGAGGGAGAGAGAATCTCAAGCAGACTCCCCACTGTGTGTGGAGCCTGAGGCTGGCCTCGATCCCACGACCCTGAGATCATGACCTGAGCTGAAACCAAGGGTCAGATATTTAACCAACTGCGCCACCCCACTAATTCATTATTATGTGCAGTTTATAACTTAGGTATTAATAAAGTTTCCCTAAAAATCATTGATTAGTAAAATAACATTAAGTATCAAAATTAAATTTAGTGCAAAGGGAAAAAAATAAAGGAGTTCAAACCCTCTCTTTTATGAGACCCTGTCTGTGTAACTTTTTCTTGCCTTATTACACTATCTAGGACCACCTTTACTATGATGAATGAGAGTCATAAGGGTGGACATCCTTGCTTGTTTCCAAACTCAGAGGGAAAAAATTGTCTTTCACCATTAAATTTGGTCAGTTTTTCTTAGATGTCCTTTATTTAGTTGAGTAAAGTCCTTTTTCTTATTTTTCTGATATTTAAAATCAAGATTTGGTGTTAAATTTTTATAAAATCCTTTTTTTTTTCATCTATAAAGATGATCATACAGTTTTCTTATGTAGTACATTCATACAGTGAACTCCATAGATTGATTTTTGAATGTTAAAGCCAACCTTGTAGTTCTGGGATGAACCCCATGTAACCATGATGTATTATCCTTTTCTTGTCTTGTATGATTTCATTTACCAACATCTTGCTAAGGATTTCTGTATTTGGGTTTATGAGGAATATTTGTCCCTTATTTTCTTTTCTCATAATATCTTTGGTTTTGGTATCAAGTCAATTCTGGCCTTATTGGGAAGTATTTCCATTGCTTTCTATTTAAATTAAGCTATTTGAGGGGCGCCTGGGTGGCTCAGTCGGTTAAGCATCCGACTCTTGGTTTCGGCTCAGGTCGTGATCTCAGGGTCCTAGGATCAAACCCCACATCAGGCTCTATACTCAGTGGTGAGTCTGCTTGGGATTCTCTCTCTGCCTCTGCCCACCCCCACCACACTCTCTCTCTAAGATAAATAAATAAATCTTAAAAAAAAATTAAGCTATTTGAGATAATTGTAGACACACTTGCAGTTGCAAGACATAATGCAGACAGGTCTTGTGTACCCTATGCCCAAGTGTCTGCAGTGCTAATATTTTGCAAAACTACAGTACAATATCACAAACAGGATGCTGACATCAGTACGGTCAAAATATAAACATTTCCATCACCACAGCATCCCTCATGTTGCCCCCTTCTAGGCACACTGACTTTCCTCCTGGCCTCACCCTTTCCATAACCCCTAGTAATGACTGATCAGTTCTCCACTTCTATAAATGTGTCATTTCAGCAGTATTATATAAATGGAATAATTTATAAAACCTTTCACCTTCTAGGATTGGCTTTTCACTCAGCATAATCCCCTGGACGTTCACCCAGGCTTTTCATTGTACCAAACAGTCGATTCCTTTTCATTGCTAAGTAGTATTCCATGATATGCATGGTAGGCAGAGTAATGACCCCTCCGAATATGTTCACATCCCAATCCCTAGAACCTGTGAAGATGTGACCTCCTGTGGCAGAAGGGATTTGGCAGATGTGATTAAGTTAGGAGTTTAAAATGGGGATGGGAGCTTATCCTGGATTATTGGGGTTGGAGGCAGGCAGGAGGGTCAGAGTCAGAGATAGATTGGAAGATGCTTTGCTGCTGGCTTTAAAGATGGAGAAAGGATCCATGGGTCAAGGAAGGGAGAACCTGGGCAAGGCAAGTGAGTGGATTCTTCGCTGGAGCCTGCAGAATAAATATAGCTCTGCCCAAATCTTGACTTTGGCTAAGTGAGACCCATTTCAGACTTCTGAGCTCTGAAACTGTAAGATAAAGTCTTGAAAGCCACTAAGCTGGGGGTAACTTATTATAGCAGCAAGAGGAAACTTATACAGGATAAGTGTACTCTTAACCCCCATCACTTATTCCCCGCCCCCCACTCTTCTCTCCTCTGGTGACCATCAGTGTGTTCTGTATAGTTAAGGATCTCTTTCTTGGTTGGTCTCTTTTTTCCCTTTGCTCATTTGTTTCTTAAATTCCACATATGAGTGAAATCATACGGTATTTGTCTTTCTCTGACTTGTTTTGCTTAGCATTATACTCTCTAGATCTATCCGTGTTGTTGCAAATGGCAAGATTTCATTCTTTTTTAAGGCTGAGTAATATTCCATTGTGTGTGTGTTTAATTACATATTACATATTATATTTATATATATATTTACGTATATATAATCACATGTTCTTTATCTATTCAACTATGGATCAATACTTGGGCTGCTTCTATCTCTTGGCTATTGTAAATAATGCCACAGTAAACATAGGGGTGCCTATGTCTTTTCAAATTAGTGTTTTTATATTCTTTGGGTAAATACCCAGTAGTGGAACTACGGGATCATATGGTTGTTCTATTTTTAACTTTCTGAGGAACCTCCATACTGTTTTCCACAGTGGCTGCCCCAGTCTGCATTCCCACCAACAGTGCAAGAGGGTTCCTTTTTCTCCGCATCCTTGCCAACACGTGCTGTTTCTTGTTCTTGTGTTGTTGATTTTAGCCAATCTGACAAATGTGAGGTGATTTCTCATTGTGGTTTTAATTTGCATTTCCCTGATGATGAGAGATGTTCGATTACTTCTTTTTTTTGGTGTTGGGTTGTATCAGTTCTTTGTATTTTTGGGTACTAACCCTTTATCAGACATGTCATTTGTAAATATCGTCTCCCATTCTGGAGTTGTCATTATTTTTTGTTTTAGCCATTCTGATAGGTGTGTAGTGATATCTTGTGATTTTAATTTGCATTTTCATAATGGCTAATGATGATGAGTGTCTTTTCATGTATTTATTTCTCACCTGTATACTCTCTTTGGTGAAATGTCTTAATATCTTTTGCTTATTTTTGAATTTTTTTTTCACCATTGACAATGTTTCAAAAATTATATATTCTTGATATTAGTCCTTTTTCAGATATGGGGATGCAAATACTTTTACCCAGTCTATGGCTTAGCTTTTCATTTTCTTAAAAGGGTCTTTTTTAGAGCAAAGATTTTTAATTTTGATGAAGTTCGGTTTATCAGTTTTTTATTTTATGGTTTATGTTTTTTGGTGTCATATCTAAGAACTATTTTCCTGCCCCCGCCCCCCAGCTTGAAGATTTCTGGTTTTTTCCCCCCCCAGGAGTTTTATAGTTTTAAGTTTTACACTTAAGTCCTTGATGCATTTTGAGTTATTTTTTTACAAGGTGTGAAACTTAG